CTTGGATACCCATGTGCATGGGAAATAGGCTTACAGGTTCCGGAAGATGAGAGGAAATGTCAACACTGTGGAGAAATGCCCGACAGACCACTGGAACATTATCTAACACAGTGCACAGTTACAAACCCGTTAAGATTTCCACTTAGATTCAACAGAGCAGAGGAAGTTGTTAAACACATATGGCAAAATCTTACTGAAGCGACCATACGAGTCATAAATACTCATCCTCCGCCCAAGTAAAACAGAAACAAGCAACACTTAGTGGGCCAGCCAGAGGCTTAGGGCCCGCGCAGGATTATCCCTGAAAAAAAAAAAAAAAAAAAAAAAAAAAAAAAAAAAAAAAAAAAAAAAAAAAAAAGGTGAGGCATGTATATGGAAGATATATAAAAAGACGCGCCTATTCGAATGCAACGTTGTGACAAAATTTCAAAGTAATCGGTAAAGAGGTTTCGAAGATTTCCCCTCACATGAAAAACACAGTTTTTCAGAAAAAGCATGTTTTTTTCTGTCACAGACATGACACCAATATAGTATGTATATTGGTTTCAAGGTGAAGAACTTTCGGAGATTAGCGATTTTGAACAAACGAACATTTCAATCTTTATTTATATAGAAGATTATTATTATCATTATTATTATTATTATTATTATTATTATTATTATTATTATTATTATTATTATTATTATTATTATTATTATTATTATTATTATTATGTGTAAGTTTACACATCAAGAGGCAGAAAATACAAACGAATAGCACTAAAATCACACATAAATATCTTTGAAAGAGTGCTAAGAAGTAACATCACAAAATACATGGAATCCCAGCATCACCATAACCCCGCACAACATGGTTTCAGAACAGGGCGCTCTTGTCTATCACAGTTGCTGGACCACTTTGACATGGCCTTAGATCCTATGGAACATAGGCAAAACGCTGATATAATTTACACAGATTTAGCAAAATCCTTCTACAAATGTGATCATTGAGTCATTGCACACAAAATGCGTTCAAAAGGAATCACCGGAAAAATTGGCAGATAGATCTACAATTTCCTGACTAACAGAACCCAATGTGTAATAGTCAACAAAATAAAATCCGGACCATCAACCGAGTAGAGGTCAGTTCCCCAGGATACTGTGCTTGCTTCAGTAACTTTTTTCTCATCCTCATATCAGACATACACAAGGACACAAACTATAGTACCGTATCTTTCTTTGGAGATGATACTAGGATTTTTATGAGAGTAGACAACATAGAGGACACAGCAAACCTCCAATCTGATGTAAATTTGATCTTTCAGTGGGCTCCAGAAAATAATTTGGGATTTAATAAATGTAAGTTTGCGCTCCCTCGCTACGGATAAAATGAAAGTGTAAAAATGAAAACCACGTACAAAATGCAGTCATATCATACCATAGAAAGAAAAAGCAATATAAAGGATTTAGATGTACTCATGTCGGAAGACCTTACCTTTTAAGAACACAATAAAGTAGCAGTCACAACTGCCCATTTCAACGCTGGATAAATTGCTGACCTGGAGAGCGTGCAGAGATTCTTTACTGCCAGAATCCACTCAGTAAAACATCTAAACTATTGGGACCGACTAAAATGCCTAAATCTGTCTTCTCTTGAGCGCAGGTGGGAGAGATACATAATAATTTACACGTGGAAAATATTTGAGGGGGTTGGTCCCAAACCTGCACACAGAAATAACTCCACATGAGACCAGAAGACATGGCAGGATGTGCAGAATACCCCCATTGAAGAGCAGAGGTGCAATAGGTACTCTGAGAGAGAACGCTAATAACATCAACATCACCGGTGACTGTTCAACACGCTTCCACTACACATAAGGGGCATAACAGACCGACCCATCACAGTGTTTAAGGGAGAACTTGATAAACATCTCCGAAAGGTATAAACCAAGCTATGACTCATACGTCAGGCTACGAGCAGCCGCGTCCAACAGCCTGGTTGACCAGTCCAGCAACCAGGAGGCCTGGTCGAAGATCGGACCGCGGGGACCTTGAACCCCAAAATCATCGCATGATAACCACAAGGTAATCAATAATGTTAGTTCCTTGAGGTAAAAAACTGGGAGAGGGGAGGGGAGGGAATCCCACTCCCTGGTGGACTGGAGTACCCACTGAGAGTTACACTCTAACTCAAGAACGACGAAGTAGAGAAATTGAAATGATTGAACAAAAGCTACATGAATCATACAAAATCCAAGAGAGAGACAAAGAGAGATAATGGCCATCAGTAAAATAGTGCTAATTAAAATAAAAAACTTCATCTAGTAATCTAGTATCGGGTCCCTGTGTAAGGGAGATGGAACTTTCACAGATGACAACAAAGAAATGAGCGAAATACTGAGGAATTAATACGACTGTCTTAAGTTAACCATTAAACACACTGAAGATTGATAATCCAAATGAATTTTTCATGGATGTGATACCAACATCAAATCATATATCAGAGGTCACCCTATCCCCACTGGATTTTGAAGAAGCCATAGACAATATGCCTATGCACTCTGCACCAGGCCCTGATTTTTGGAAATCTATATTCATCAAAAACTGTAAAAAAACTATCGAATGCCCGTCACATTCTTTGGTGACAACGCCTAGATACTAGCGTTATTCCTGACATACTTAAAACAGCAGAGATAGCCCCCCCCCCCTCCACCCCATAAATGAAGAAATAAGGAAGAGGCAAAAAATTACAGACCAATAGCACTAACATCACACATCATAACAAATTTTGAAAGAGTACTAAGAAATAAGATTACAAAATTCATGGAATCCCAGCATCCCCATAAGGGAGCCGGTCGGCCGAGCGGACAGCACGCGGGACTTGTGATCCTGTGGTCCTGGGTTCGATCCCAGGCGCCGGCGAGAAACACTGGGCAAAGTTTCTTTCACCCTATGCCCCTGTTACCTAGCAGTAAAATAGGTACCTGGGTGTTAGTCAGCTGTCACGGGCTGCTTCCTGGGGGTGGAGGCCTGGTCGAGGACCGGGCCGCGGGGACACTAAAGCCCCGAAATCATCTCAAGATAACCTCAAGATAACCCTGGACAATATGCTTTCAGAACAGGGCGCTGTTGCCTATCACAGTTGCAGGACCACCATGACATGGCATTAGGTGCCATTGAAAACAAACAAAACGCCAATGTAATTTACACAGATTTCACAAAAGCCTTCGACAAATGTGACCATGGCGCTATTGCACACAAAATGCGTTCAAGAGGAATTACCGGAAAAGTAGGTAGGTGGATCTACAATTTCCTAACTATGAGAACCCAATGTGTAATAGTCAACAAAATAAAATCCGATCCATCAACCGTGAAGACCTCAGTCCCTCAGGGTACTGTGCTTGCTCCAGTACTTTTTCTCATCCTCATATCGGACATAGACAAGGACACAATCTAAAGTACAGTATCTTCCTTTGCAGATGACACTAGAATTTTAATGAGAGTAGACAACATAGAGGACACGACAAACCTCCAATCAGATGTAATTCAGGTCTTTCTATGGGCTACAGAAATAATATGACGTTCAACGAAGATAAGTTCCAGCTCAAGCACAACGGAAATTTTTTAATATAAAAACGGAAACGACATACAAAACGCAGTCAAATCATAACATAGAACGAGAAGGCAATGTAAAGGATTTAGGTGTACTCATGTCGGAAGACCTTACCTTTAATGAACACATTAAAGTAGCCGTCACATCTGCAAGAAAAATGACAGGTTGGATAACAAGAACCTTTTACCTAGAGATGCTATACCGATGATGATGCTTTTAAATATTGGTTTAAAATCATCCCAGCTATTGATAACCATAAATTAGCCAATTTTAATTTTTTTTTATAAGTTTAGTTAATTTATAATGCACCCTGACGCTGCAGGCAATTATGCAGGCGCCTGACAGGTTGGTGGACAGCGCTTCGGATTTGTAGTCCTGAGGTTCCGGGTTCGATCCCCAGTGGAGGCGGAGACAAATGGGCAAAATGTTTCTTTCACTCTGATGCCCCTGTTATCTAGCAGTAAATAGGTACCTGGGAGTTAGACAGCTGCTACGGACGGCTTCCTGGGGGTGGAGGCCTGGTCGAGGATCGGGCCGCGGGGACATTAAGCGCCGAAATCATCTCAAGATAACCCTATACACATCCTGTGTGCGGTGGTGGAAAAAGTTATAAAGACTCAGGATGGGTTAAGGAATTTGAGCAATGGGAATCTGAGCAATGGGCTCAGGAATTGAGCCCCAAAATTCGTTTAGCTAAGCAAGTTACAGCACTGATGAGCTAGTTACCTAATATGTTAACATATAAATAAATTAACGGTCGCGTCACAGTTTACCAAACTGACATATCCGTGATTACAAGACGCTTTAACACAACAGATTAGTTTGTTAGTCGAGTCAGTTACATACAATTTTAAATTGTCTGTCAAGAGCTCCACATCCATTCAGAAAATTTTGTATAAGTGGCTACAATTTTTAGTAGCACATCATTTTGAATTAAATACTTATACATTTCTTTAAGATTTGTAATTAAGTTATGTTTAAATACCAAATTTTGTTCTCACATTCCATCATATAGTGTTGTAGATTGTCCGAATAATTTTGATTAGTTTGTTATTTTCGTGTACAGTTGTCCTTCCTACCTTCCTCCGTATTGGTGACTTCGTTCCCTGGTTGATGCAAGCTTGAAGAGGACTGCAAGTGGAAGTGCACATCTTTTAAGGATCTGTGGAACATACTTAATCTGGTCCTTGACTTGCTAACATTAGTTTCGAATAGTTCTTTTTACTTTCTAATTTGTAAGGATGAAGGAATATAGGCACGAATTTGTTATTATAATTATCATTTATTAATATTGCAATTTTTAAGTGATACTGTTTTTATTATTATAAACATTTTGCAATTATCATCATTACTATTGCTGTTAATTTAGATGTTATCCAGTCAATTATTTGGGAAGGTAAAACCTCAGTTTAGGATAATATTTTTTATTTATTTTTTAATGTTGCAGGTCAACAGGTGGTAGAGAACAATGAGAGTCATTCCCCGCCTACGGACTTGGGCGCATCAACTACGCCAGAATATCACGGACATGGTTGATGACATCGGAGTTACTGGGACGTGTACGTGGCAACTACACGAACGTTGTCTGGAGAGGCGTTCGTAGCCACATACACGAACGGCTCGCTGGCACCGAAACATCAGTCATAGATTCTTTCAATATATCATATACAAACTGTTCCGGAGTCTGAAGGAGTGTGTACAATGACGGAAAGTGTTATTAGTTCTTCTTCGCAGGAGCAGCGACTACAGTGTAGGGTCTGAAGTAAGGGAAGGCAGCGGAGTAGGGCAGGAAGGCAGGGTTGCCAGCGATATACTTAGTGGCCTTATCTGTGGACACTGGAGCCACTGCAGAGTATGGCTGGAAGGCAGTGTATGCATAGTTGAATGGATAGGTGTAGGGCAAGGCGGGGACCTTGTATTCCTTGGTCTTTAGCTCGATCTTGGTGGTGTCGGCTGGGGTGTCAGACTCAACCGCTTCGTAATTCTGGGTCTTGAACTTGGCGTAGTTGGCAACGGGCACTGAAGAATACACGAGAGGGACGGGAGCGAACTGTGCCTCACGACGACGACGACGAGCTTCCACGACTGCCTCAGGCTCAACCTCAGGCTCAACCTCAGGCTTCTTCTCCTCAGTCTTGGGTGCCAGTGGGTTTACAAAGAAAGGGAAGCCAGGGTAAGCGAATGGATAAGAGGCATAAGGGGTAATGGGGTTTATTGGGTACGAGTAGAAAAAGGGGCTTGAACCAGGGACTTGATAAGCATTGACTTTTGAATCATCTGTTTCATATTTGGGGACATTGACGGCTGCTGTTGGGTAGCTATAGAAGGCCACTTGACGTTTCCCGCGAAGCTTAGCCTCATTGTACAGCTCCTTGAATTCTGCCCGAGCTTTAACTACCTCAGGGGTATCTTCGACGGGGTTGGGGCCCTCCAGGGTGTGCACGGGGGCGCTAAGCTCCACTTGCTCAGCCTCTGGAAGAACGTTGGACCTGACGCGGTAGCCTCGGCCCGCTCCAGCCTCGTAGAAGGTCACAGCTGGCTTACCGTCGGCGCCGATGTAGGAGTAGTGACCGACAACACTGCCATCAGCCAGGCGGGTCTCATGGCGATTCTGGTTAATTCCGTAGTAGCCAAAGGTGGACTGACCTAAGATATCTTGGGCTCGGTACTGTTGCGCAAAGGGATATGGCGCAATGAAGTTGTATGGCACGAACTGCGCACTGCAGCACCAAGCAAGTGCCAAAACCACCTGTTGATACAAAGACATAAATCTAGCTTTATTTATGATATATTTATTTTTTAATATTACTGATTATCTCCAACATATTAAACATATTTTAACAAGTAAACAGATGATAAAAATCTGATAAGTTCATCGTTTTGATAATTTCTGTGTAGCACTTAAATTCTGTCGACTTACTGGGCGTCTGGTAGGAACATGAGGAACCGCGAGAATCGTGAGGAACCTCGAAGACCCACCGTTAGACTCAAATAATTTTCTCCATTTTCCAGGCTCTGGAGCCCATCTTTTCTAGTTATTTATAACTGTAAGACTCTAGAAAGACCTGAAATCGACCTTCAAAAGTCGAGCTTTACCCCCGGTGAATTACAATAACTGTTTATCCCCTGTGCGTTACAAGACCTGGGACCGACCAACAGAAGTCAGTCATCTCGTCAACAAAATATCAATAACATGGAGCTGTCGGCCGAAATCAACGGTCTCTCCACAATCCTTTTTCGCAGGATTGGTGAGTCTGTACCTGAGGTTGTGCGTGTGTGTGTGTGTTCATGTACGACCGCCCTGAAGCCCAGTGCAACTAGTAGCCAAATGCTACCTGATGCTCAGTGCTACCTGGAGCACAGTGCTACCTGGAGCCCATTACTACCTGAAACCAAGTGCTATCTGAAGCCCAGAGCTACCTGAAGGCCAGAGCTATCAGATGCCCAAAGCTACCTGAAGCCCAATGATACCTGAAGTCCAGTGCTACCTGAAGCCTTGTGATACCTGGAGCCCAGAGCTACCAGAAGCCCAGAGCTACCTGAAGCCCAGAGCTACCTGAAGCCCAGAGCTACCAGAAGCCCAGAGCTACCTGAAGCCCAGAGCTACCAGAAGCCCAGAGCTACCTGAAGCCCAAGGGCTACCTGCAGCCTAAAGCTATCTGAAGCCCAGAGCTACCTGAAGCCCAGAGCTACCAGAAGCCCAGAGCTACCTGAAGCCCAAAGCTACCTGAAGCCCAGAGCTACCAGAACCCCAAAACTACTAGAAGCTCAAAGCTACCTGAAGCCCAGAGCTACCAGAAGCCCAGAGCTATCAGAAGCCCAGAGCTACCTAAAGCAGAAGATACTCACCAGAAACTTCATGTTGTCGTAGACCTGAACACTGCAGCAGCTGCTGTTCCTCCGTCGCCGTCGCCTCAATATATAGAGGACCAACCCCCACTTCCCCCCAAACAAGCTCCCCCCGACCCCTTACGCTGCCCCATCTTCCTCCCGCCCCCTCAAGGTCACCTGGAGTCCTACCTCCAGCTGCTCCTCAAAGTGACCGGAACGAATATCGAGAACTAAACAAAAACGACATAATGGAATATTTTTTCAAATAACCCGTAAACAAATCCTTGTCCAATGAAAAGTGAATATGTTGACAAGTTTTTATTAACACCGCATATTTAAACACAGAGGTGTCCAATTAGCGTAGAGAGGTCTATGTAAATAGAGGTGTCTAGTGAACATCGAGTTGTCTGCTGAACTGAGTGGTGTCTGCTGAACGTAGTGGCATCTGCTGAACATTGTGGTGTCTGCTGATAATAGTGGTGTCTGTTGAACAGAGTGGTGTCTGCTGAATGTAGTTGTGTCTGCTGAATATAGTGGTGTCTGTTGAACAGAGTGGTGTCTGCTGAGTGTAGTTGTGCCTGCTGAATATAGTGGTGTCTGGTGAACAATTATGTATGTTGAACATAGTCGTATCTGCTGAACATTGTTGTGTCTAGTGAACATAGTGGTATCTGGTGAACATAGGTGCATAACATAGAACATAGGTATCTGGTGTCTGCTGAGCGTAGTGGAGTTTGTTGAATATAGAGGTATATGGTGAACATAGAGGTGCCTGGTGAACATAAATGTGTCTGCTGAACATAGAGGTGTCTGCTGAGCATAGTGGTGGCTGTTGAACATAGAGGTGTATGGTGAACATAGAGGTGTCTGCTGAATATAAATGTGTCTACTGAACACAATGGTGTTTGCTGAACATAAATGTGTCTACTGAACATAAAGGTGTCTGGTGAACATAGAGGTGTCAGCTGAGCAGAGTGGTGTCTGTTGAACATGAAGGTGTCTGCCCAGAAAACGGGACAGTATATAAATTTCGCCAGTCAGTACCATTTTCTAGTACGATGATTTTTGGCCTTAGGTTGAGTATACGTCAAAATTCGACGTTCTGTTAGGAGGACGCATTGGTACGACACGGTGTCATGTGAGTTGCGATTGTTTCTCACAAAATGTGTGAGGCCGTCTAAAATTTGTTCTAGCTGCTCTAGTATTCTATGGGAGGCCTAATGTGTTAGTTGTTCAGAGTATCTCACCTCACTGAGGCCTTCATGATGTGTGTTCCTTCATTGCCATGAGCATATTTTTTAGCTCATTTAGCTGCGACATCTTTCATAAGTCTTCTAAATTCTAGATTCTGATTTGTTCTGCACCTAACTGATTAGTAAATTATTTATGCAGCTGTAACTTGCTTAGGCTTCTGATAGACCAATAATTTAGGGACTCCGTGAGATAATCGTTTAGTTTTTCTAATGCAAGAACGTCAACCTCAAAGTAATAAAAATGTTAAAAATGTCATCGATGTTGTTTGCTCCTTCACTCGTATTTTCAGTTAGGTCATTTTGATATTATCTTCACAGGTAAAAATTTGTGAAGTTATAATTATTATTCGTGGTTGAAAATTAGACACCCAACTCACAGGTATTACAACAGTCTGTTTTCTTTATCTCTTCTTGCAAGTTTTTCGCTTTCGTTATCCCTTAAATTTGATCATCTGTGTCTCTTATCAAGCTTAAAGAAGTTTCTTTTATCCTAAACTTGATTCTAAACCTAGAAACCTTGTATTTTATCTTCTTTTCAAATTTACATTAAAAATCTCAATGATGCTCTTCGTCCACTTCATATCAAATTTACTTTTCGATAAACCAATACACTTCGTAGTGATTTGGTTCACATTGCTCCTCCTGCTTCCAATGCTGTTGGTTATCTTGAGGTTATCTTGAGATGATTTCGAGGCTTTAGTGTCCCCGCGGCCCGGTCCTCGACTAGGCCTCCACCCCCAGGAAGCAGCCCGTGACACAGCTGACTAACACCCAGGTACCTATTTTACTGCTAGGTAACAGAGGCATAGGGCGAAAGAAACTGCCCATTGTTTCTCGCCGACGGCCGGGATCGAACCCGGGACGACAGGATCACAAGTCCAGCGTGCTGTCCGCTCGGCCGACCGGCTTCCTCCCTCCCTCGACCGGCTGGTGTTTATTCTGTTCGTCTTGTCCTCTCAAATTGCTTTAGTGAACCAGGCCGTATTCTTAAGAACGGATTTCAAGAGCACAAAGGAAGTGTTGAATCCGCTGACACGAACATGCACTTTTCTGTCATGGTAGGGAGGGACTCTTAATCATCCTACAGATTAGACGTCTCTGATATCCAACATTCCTACCATTAACCTTTCTCCTGGTTTTGTTGCTGTTGAAATCTTTCTCAGTAATAGTTAAATTCTCACGCTTCTTAGCAAGCGGAATCTGACTTTGCTTATGCTTTCCTTTTTTCTCTTATGATCCTTTCGCCTTTTATTTATTTCTCCCTTCTATTAGGCCTTTTGTTGTTTTCTTTAATCTTATGTTTACTCGATCTCATTGTATACTTCCTACCGTCTAATCTTTCACCACACCATCTTACTTATTGACTCAACCACACTTCCTTTATCAACCCATAATCTAGGGCTGTCAATCACCCTAAATTGTATACCAAGTTACATTGGAATAGATGGTAATGAAAAGGCAGACTCACTAGCAAAAACTGCAACTGCTCTACCTGTTGTTCAGGGTCAAATACCTCCAAATTTTTCACAGATTCAGGAGCAAATCGAGAAGAAAATACTCCCAACTATCAAAAGTCGCCACAGAGCCAGAGTAGCGGAAGGAAGATCCACTGCGATATGGTACGAACAAGCCACTGGGTAGCCGGAGGCCAAACACAAGGTACCATCCGGGTGGTGAAATCCTTCAGGAGTCAAATAGAAAGAAAGATCTGGGGGTTGATATCAATGAACTTGTCCCCAGAGACCTACATCAAAAGGATATCATCAGCGGCATATGGCAGATTGGCTTACGGGCTCACTATAGCCTGTGCTACAAGGAAATTTTGTTCCGAGTAGCTGAATATAAAACAACAACAGCAAACACCTAAATTGGGAAACATAAGAGCTGCCTTTAGTAACTTGTGTAAGGGGTCATTTAGAACCTTGAATATCACTTATGTCAGGCCAATCCTGGAGTATGCAACTCGAGCCTGCAGACCAAGTTAAACACAAGACAAAGCTAGAGAAGATTCAGAGGTATGCCACCAGAATAGTCCCAAAACTGAGAGCTATGAGCTACGAGGAAACGGGAGCTAAATATCTCGTCCCTGAAAGACAGAAGCGTAAGGGGGAGACATGATCACCATCTACAAAATTCTCAGTTGAGAGTTGGGACCAAAGAGCCGAAGCTCAATCCCCGCAAGTACAACTAGATGAGTACAATACACTCACAATAATGCTAACAATAGTAGTAGTAGGCATCCATCATTCTCAGGAGTAATACAATCACAACAATGGTGGAAATAATACACTCAAAACAATGGTGAAACAATACACTTCCATCAATATTGTGTGGTACTTGATACATCACTGATAATTATATCTCAATATGCCCGGTAGTCAATATGGCAGGAACACTAGGTGATAGGCTAAGGAAACACTATAAAGTAACCATAAGTATAATTACTATATATTAGATATATACAATATGGTTCATGGTTCACAGATATATATACACCTGCCTACAACTTCACAAGTCATTGCTGGTCACATCTTAAATCCTAATTACCGTATCTCTAATACCTACCTTAACTCTCCCTCAAATTACCAGCCCAATGTTAGTCACTCATACTCACACGTGCTACTCAAGAAACCAACTGCCAGCCTTCACCAGGGGCGTCTGTGGTCACTGGGTGGGTGTGGGTGAGTGACGCGACCAGCTGGACTTGTCGACCCAGCACTCAACTTCCCAGCTGGTCCATCCTGGCCCTCTGTGTGTCCTGGCCCTCTGCATCGAGGTCCTGTCCAGTAATGAGAGCTGCCATTTTGCTGGCGTCTCTTTTTATTCAGCCTCCTCATACCACTTCCGGTCGACACTTGATTCTACGTTCCCACAACCCACGAGACCTGCCAAGACCGTCCTAAATATCACTTCCGGTCACCTCTCTGACACTTTCAGCCGGCTATACAGGCTCTCCATGCCCAGTCACCAAATTTAGACAACTGGGGGTACAAATGGGCGTACAGAAGAACGTACAGAGGGTGTGCACGCCGCACCGACTGGAATCCAAATTTGCCACACTCATAAACTACTCCACACGCTCCTAAAACTACATCCGCTGCCAGTATGTTAAGCGAGAGAGGTTACTACATTTTACACAATAATCTGGGTACAATACTGGTAGCAATAAATTCACAACAATGTTGGTAGCAATTTACTCATGACAATGGTGGCAGCAATTCGCTCACAACAATGATGGCAGCAACCGGCTCTGAGACACATTAAGGAAATGTGTTAACAGTTAGGGAAAATGATAAAGAATGTGTAGGCGCGAGTAACTTAGTATTGACGGGTAGCATCTGGTGGACCTAGACCAGCGCTAGGTCAAGGGAAGACCAGGGCAGAGGACTGGGAGTGAGGTACAACGGGTCACCAACGAGACACGCACACGAAGATATGTCATTTATAGTCAGTTAATAGGGACACCACAACTGTTTACTGACCAACCAGCAAGTATTATTTTACTGTTAAACAGAACATAGAACTAAAGTGAGCAGTGAATATACACTCAGAAACGGGGTACACCTCCCAGAGTATATACCTTTATTAGAGACTTCATTCGTTACAGCTTATATTAATGAATACAATTCAGGCTGGACTGAACAGGTGTACAGTTGTGTAAACCAAACTTACATTTTCAGACATAAATTTAAAAATATTTCACTTGCAATTTGAATGGTGACGTGTATTGGCAGAAGACTGTGTAACAGTGATGACGACTGATGTAGTAAGAACAGTAGCAATATAAGTAACAGTATTAGGGCTAGTAATGATAACAATAATGATAACAACTAATAGTAAGTA